CTGGGGCACACATGTGCCCCATTGCAGTTGATGGAGAATGACCTGCTGACTTGATGATCTGTTTGCAGGGAAAAAATAACCCCGCCTCCTCTTTGGAAGGCTGAATTGTGTTCAGGACAAATGCCCAGATCAAGAGTATCCATTCAGTTATGTGGGAGCAGAGCCAATGATCTGCGTCAGAGCACAGTTTGTCTCCTTTCACACTTCAGTTGCCCTCTTCAACATAATAATAATTGCATTTCCACGCCAAGCTAATAAATGCTATTGGAGATTGATAACTAAAGAAGAATTCGCCTGGACCAAGTCTACGGCCACAGCACTGTGTCTCTACAGTAGCCAGTTAGATCTCTTGGAGGAACTGAGATGACAGACAGAGCAACAGTGCCCCCCTCGTAATTTTCCAAAAACTTACACAGTAGGACATCAAATTAACAGATGTCCATTAAATCAGAGTGTCCATTAAATCCAAATGGGATTTTACATAGGCATGTGGGTTTTTGGAACTTTATGCATGTGTAAAGTGTGAATGAGACTTTATGTATGTGTGTGATTTATGCATTTTACACATTTGTAAATAAATAAATGAGATTTTATACACAGAGAGACCAGTCCTCTGATTCAATCAGTCCTGTGACTCAACCGGTCACAAGACCAACCAAGGATCTATATAAACGAACAAGACACTTCACCCAAAAACACCCCCACTGAAAATGTTACCTAGTTTGGTAACGAAACATACGTGAGCCAAGCAACAAGTTCGGAGGGCAAATCTCTGCCTAAATCTACCACCCGAGCTACAAATATTCTCTACCATTTCTAACACAGAGAAGTGCAGAATACAGAGCGCTCTGTTGCATCCAGATTCTGCTTCCACTGAGATCCAGAGTTTATACTGTCTTCAGAGGAATTAATGACTTTGATTAGAAGCTGACATGAACAGCTTCACAAAATTCTCCATCCAATTTCTGGGCCGAGAATTTATCGGAATGTTTCTGCAAAGAAGAGGAACTATTGGAGAAGGGCAATGCTCATTTGCATGATTGCAAATGTCCCTTGGGAAGATTTCTCTTGGACTTTAGTGAATGTGAGGGAAGGCAGGTAGCTTAAGTGTATGTGAAGACACTGCCTCTAGCTCTGAGTTAGCAGGCTACATGCAACAGTATGTTGGTTCGTAAAGTAACTCCTAGATTACAGACCCAAGCCTGCACAGCCCAGCAAAAACATCCTTTTGCACTTATTTATTTCCGAATGCATAAGGCTGCTCAGCTTAAGCAAATAACTCTAGGAAGCTAATAAAACCGAGGCGTAAAATAACACAACATAAAAGCCGTAAGGCAATAACTAATTAAAAATGGCTGAGTCTCCCCACAAAACTATCTTGCAGCACAAAACAAGCATACATATCGTGCTCCACTAGTGTCCTGGCCCTGCACTATGGGGTAAAGCTCAACTCAGATGCCTTTGTGGCATCTGGCCAAAACGTGTCCCAACTGACCACATATAATTTGGAATGTTACATTTGCCCTGAATAACACTAATAATCTGGTTTCTCTCTTGCTAAACAAAAAAAAAAAAAAAAACACCCTTTCTATGCAAGTTTCAACTGACCAAAGTCACAATAGATAATAAATGTCAATGTTGACCAATAAAAGAGAATATTTGCAGCTCAGGGTTGAACGTGGGGTCCTTGGTGCTCTCTGAGTTTGGTGTTTTTCTTGCAGATGTTTCATTACCAAACTAGGTAACATCATCAATGCTAGAAGGGAGGGAGGTTTGCAGAGAGGAGGAGGAGGAGGAGGACTGAGGGGTTCTTGGTGCTCTCTGAACTTGGGTGGTTTTCTTGCAGACATTTCATTACCCAACTAGGTAACAACACCAGTACTGGGCTACTGTCTATGTCTATTTTTAATAAAATTAAAATGCCTATTTTTAACATCAAAAATGTCTCTGTTTCCTGCACTGCTCCTCCTGAAAGAGAAAAGGATGATGGGTATGTGAGAAGCCAGAGAGGCTCCAGGCCACCACAGAGAAGATTGCGTAACCTTCACATGCAAATCCACCCACTTACCCCAGCTGGCCACCATATCACCAAGCAAGTGCACAAATAACATTTTCCACCCAGGAGGACGTCACTCAGGCTCTCTTTTCCTTTGAGAGAATTTCTAAAGCAAATTCTATTTTATCCAATGGAATGAGAACTAGTAGGAGGGTTTCTCCAGCCAGCCGTACTTCTGATCCCCGAGGAAACCAAGGTGACTAATCTTTAACTGTACTTCTGCTATTCTTTAAGATACCCACAGGATTTGGGGAAGGAGAGGAATCTGAGCTTGATCAGACCAGTAGCAATAACTGTGATTGAAGGGACGCTTAATCCCTTAGCCCCGTTCCTCTGACTTTTTTAAAAAAAATCATATTGATAAAGATCATTTGTATGTTCAGATAAAACATCTACAGGATTTCCAACAGCAGAAAAGTGATAGGAGCATTTATTTTCATCATGTTAATTGGGGGTAGGGATTAGATTGCATAATTGTAATGGGGAAAGGGATACGCACTAGATGAGCAGGCTTGTGTGTGTGTGAAGATATGGACAAGTAACACATGATTAAAAGCAGGAGTCTCCAGGAAATTAGGGGACTGGAGGCTAAAACATATCAAGAACGGTTGCAGGAATTGGGTATGCCTAATTTAATAAAAAGAAGGATTAGGGGTAACATAATAGCAGCCTTCCAATATTTGAGGGGCCACCACAAAGGAGAGGGGGTGGTCAACGTATTCTCCAAAGCACCTGAAGGCAGGACAAGAAGCAATGGATGGAAACTAACCAAGGAGAGAAGCAACCTGGAACTAAGGAGAAATTTCCTAACAGTGAGGACAATTAATCAGTGGAACAAATGCTTCAGAATTTGTGGATGCTTCAACACTGGAAGTTTTTAAGAAGAGGCTGGACAACCATTTGTTTGAAATCGTGTAGGGTTTCCTGCCTGAGCAGGGGGTTGGACAAGATCTCCAAGGTCCCTTCCAACTCTGTCATTCCATTCCATTCCACTCCATTCCACTTTCTTTCTTAAAGTATAAAAGAAATCCATTTTCCGAAGTAGGAGTTTTAGATGGAAGGTGTTCAACCCTTCCCTTGTATAAGCTTGAGGAGATGCAGCGTGTTCTTCAGGAACAGTGAACTGAAGCTCACAACTGCTACTTCATAAAATTAAGGGATGTTCTTTCTTCTTCTGCTGCAAAGGACTGGAAATTCAGGAAAATGAGATTTGGAGTATGCCGATGCATTTGAAGGAAGGAAGCCAAATTAATTTCTCTTGGGGGGGGAGAGAAATGAGCTCAAGATGGTTCTACCACCACACCCTCACCAATATTGGTGTGAAGATGTGGGCGTTTAGGCACAGGCAGCACTGGAGAAGGATTGCATCTGAAACCAAGGCCCACTGTGGTTATGATGGGAAGCTGCAAGACCCCCTAGAAACAAACAAGGTCCTTCAAACTAGGAGGAGAGGTGGTCTCCCTTCTTTTCTCTCTCAGGCTCTTACTTGTTGTAGTTCATCAATTGGCTGGCCAGGCAAGCAAATGTGAGCAGCTTCTCAAGAACCTGACACCCAATTTCCCAAGAGAATCAGTCTGCAGTGAGGATAGGGAAGAAAATGCACCCCAAGAAGACAACAACTGTCAACTGATGAATTGGGTTTCAACAACATACAAAATCCTAACATCTGAATTAACAAAGCGGCATAACCAAAAATCATGCCCAGGCTATAAGTCTCAGGCTACCCAAATGCATTTAAGATAGACAAACATGTTTTGTGAACTCATCCTTGGAGTTGGTAGCCATGCTGTGATGTCATCTTAAGGAGGATTTGGGACCGGACAGATGGAGTGGCTGCCACCCCCGCCCCCATACTCCTTCATGCACAGCAGGGCTGGCTTGCTACAGGTTGCAAAAAAAAAAATGCACACTTCAGGGTCCAAAGCAGTACTTCCTAACCATGGCAAGTTGAAGATGTATGGACTTCAACTCCCAGAATTCCCCAGCCAGACCTGGATTTTGCCTACAGCCCTGCTTGCTGGGGAATTCTGGAAGTTGAAGTCCACACATCTTCAACTTGCCATGGCTGAGAAGCTCTGATCCAAAGCACCCTTGAGGGGGGCAGGGGGGGAGATCCTCCAGACACAGTGGGAATCCCAGGGGAGGGACGGTGCCACCACAGCACTTCTGGAAGAGGCCAGGCACATCTGGAGAAGGGAGGTCAAAAATGACCCAGCTGGATGCAGGCAAAACCCATCCCCTCGTCGGGCGAAGGTCTCCGCTTTTCTCAGCTCGGCCTCTTAGGATCCCAGCGGCTGAACCTCTGGATGTTTCGCCCACATAATTTATTTTTGATTTCTTGGCTCTGCGTCCTCTTGCGCTCGTCTCCTCCCCACGCCAACCGAGGCATCTGCCAAGCGGCAAAGCGAGCGAGCGAGCGAGCGGGCGATCCAACTCGCAGCCGCGATCCCTCCCCCTTCCCAACCCATCTCAGGATCGCAGCCGCCTCGCGCTTCGCCAACCATGCCCGACCCGGGCGGCCAGCCGGGCCCTCTGCACATGCTCCACGGCGCTCCCTGCCTCTCCTAAGGCCCGGGGAGGGGGGGCTCTGGGGCCAAGGATGCCAGGCCAAAGGGAGCCCCGCCGGGCGTGGAGCAATCCTAAAGATGCCCCTGCGCGTCTCTTCTCGGCATCGTCCTTCGCTCCCCCCCCCGCCACTCTGCCCCCCCCCAGCACGACACGCAGGTCCTTGGCAAGCGCAGCAGCCGCCCACTCGGGCAAGGCAAGCGCGGCTGCCACCCCCACCCGCCAGCCAGCGCCCCTTCCCTCCGGAGGGATGCCCGGCGCCCCTCCGCGGTCCCAGCCGAGCCCGGGCGCGGAGGGGCCAAGAGCAGGCTTGCCCGGGGCTGCCCTCTGCGGTGCCCGCCTTGCGTGGGGGGAGCGGGGGCCACGCCGCGCGGATCACCTGCCTGCTGGCTCCGGGGGCGGCGGCGCCGGGCTCAGCCGCGGCGGCAGGAGGGAGAAGAGCCGGCGCTCCCGCCGCCGCTGCCCGGCCGCCCGGCTGTCATGCTCTCGCCCGCGGCTGCCGGTTCAGGATGCAGAAGCAGCAGCAGCGGCGGCGTCTCAGCTCCCGCCCGCGGCTCTCGCAGCTGCTCCTGCCGCCTCGGCTGCGCGCGGCTCTGCGCGGGCACGCGGCTCGGCTCCAGCGGGCGGGGGGGGGAGTGGGTGTAGGCGCGCGACCGCGCTCCACAGCCCGGCGGCTTCGCCGAGCCCTGCAGTGCGGCCAGGGCGCATGCGCCTCCATCTTCGCAGCCGCCCCTCCCCACCTGCTTCTTCCCTCGCTGGGAGCAACTGGAAGGCGGGGGGGGGTCTCCGCTGCGTTGTGGTCCGTCGCCAAAGGCCAAGCGGTCCAGCGCCCCGGTTTTCGGCTACGGGCACCCTGAGCAGATACACTGGGAGTCCATCAAGAGACTCCCCTCTCCCCCCCCCGCCTCAATCACAGAAAAGGCGGAAGGTTCCTCTGGAAGCCCCCCAGGTTCTCCAGGGAAGAGAAGCTTCCAGGCAGCCTCTTCCCCGCCCTCTGGCCCTCAGCTCCCCCACGGGAGTCGCCGGTGGGCTCGGTGGTCCTCGACTTACCACCACAATGGAGCCCAACATTCCTGTTGTTAAGTGAAACTAAGTGAATTTTGGCCCATTTTATGACCTTTCTTGTCACAGTTGTTACGTGAATCACTGCAGTTGATAAGTTAGTAACCTGGTCGTTAAGTGAATCTGGCTTCCTCCATTGACTTTGCTTGTCAGAAGGTTGCAAAAGGGGATCACGTGACTCGGGAACACAGTAACCGTCAGAAATATGAGTCAGTAGCCAACTGTCTGAATTTTGATCATGGGACCTGGGGGATGCTGCAACAGTCGTAAGTGCGAAAAACGTTCATAAGTCAATTTTTTTTGAGTGCCATTGTAACTTCAAACAGTCCTTGAGGAGCACCCGGAGGCTCCAGCTGGTCCAGAACGCGGCCGCGCGGGTGGTTATAGGAGCCACATGGTGTTCCCATGTAACACCTCTCCTGCGCGAGCTGCACTGGCTCCCGGTGGTCTTCCGGGTGCACTTCAGGGTCTTGGTTACCATCTTTAGAGCGCTGCATGGCTTAGGACCTGGGTACTTACAAGACCGCCTTCTGCCACCAGTAGCCTCTCACCGCCCAGTACGCTCCCATAGAGAGGGGCTCCTCAGGGTGCCGTCGGTCAAACAGTTTCGACTGGTAGCCCCCAGGGAGAGAGCCTTCTCTGCGGGGGCACCTGCCATCTGGAACGAGCTCCCCCCGGAGATACGGAGGATCCCGGATTTACGCACTTTCCACCGTGCCCTCAAGACCTTTTTATTTCAACAGGCTGGCCTGGCCTAACTTCCTTTTAATTGTTAATTTTAAATTTGTTTTAAAACAATAGGGGTGTTTTAATCTGTATGGGCCAAAGTATTTAATGTGCTTTTACATTGTTTTTAAATTTTGTATTATGTGTGTTTTATCTTATTGGCTGTTCACCGCCCTGAGTCCTTTGGGAATAGGGCGGTATATAAATCCAAAATAAAGTAAAGTAAAGTCATTACCAGAGTCATGGTGACATAGTGGTTAGAATGCAGTATTGCAGGCCAATTCTGCCCACTGCCAGCAGTTCAATTCTCACCGGCTCAAGGTTCCAGCCTTCTTCCAAAATGGGTAAAATGAAGACCCAGATTGTTGGGAGCAAGATGCCGCTTAGAGAGGGCTGTAAAGCACTGTAGAGTAGTGTATATAAGTCTTAAGTGCTATTGCTATTAAACGAAATGTTGTAAGTTGAAGACTACCTGTATTTTCCCTTCCACACTCCAGAAACCTGACTTTCACTTATTTGCATTTTATGCTGCAATCTTCCTTATTTTAGGCATGGGGAGTGGTCTCCAGATGTGTTGCCTTTCAGCTGCTATAGTCCTCTCTCTTTGTGGTGAACAATTCTGGCTGAAGAAGCATGGGAACTGAAAGCATCTGGAGAGCATCTGGCTGAATATTTCAAGCTTCTGGGCGATTCACCTTTCCACATCCTCAGATTGAGGGGGGGGGGGGGGGGGCAGGGCTTCCCTAAGACTGGAAAGGAGAAGGCGGAAATGGAGCTGGCTGCAAAGGACCTTCTGAAATTCTTCACCTTCTTTGTGGGCAATTAGGAGATGGATTTCTCCAGGGGAAGGAGACAGTTCTAAAGGGCAGAACTTCTCTAATGATGGTTGGACCCCACGATCAAACACCAAGGAGGAGGATCCCCAAGTTTCTTGCTTTGGGATTTAATGATGTGTGGGAAACCCAAGACTTCTGCAAACCCTTGGAGAGAAGGGACCCTAACAAAAGAGGAACATCACAGAACATTGAATAGCAAGAGTGGGAAGGGGCCTTGGAGGTCTTCTAGTCCAAACCTCTGCACAAGCAGGAGACCCAATACCAGCAACCATTTTCGGCACCAAATGCCCAACTAGAACGTGCATGCATGCGCCCTCCGAAACCTGAAGACCAGCTGCCTGGGGCGCACCGAGGGGTGAAATCCAGCAGGTTCTGACAGGTTCTGGAGAACCAGTAGGGGAAATTTTGAGCAGTTTGGAGAACCGGCAAATACCACCTCTGGCTGGCCCCAGAGTGGTGGGAATGGAGATTTTGCAGTATCCTTCCCCTGCCACACCCACCAAGCCACACCCACAGAACCGGTAGTAAAAAAGTTTGGATTTCACCCCTGGGCATGCCAGCTGGTCTTTGGGTTTCTGGCACTCTGGCATGCGTGAAAACCAGCTGGCCGGCACACATGCATGTGCCGGAAACCAGAAGAGCAGTTGGCGACAGCGTGTGTGCCCACAGAGAGGGCTGTGCGTGCCACCTCTGGCGCACGTGCCATAGGTTCACCATCATGACCCTATACCATTCCAGACAATCTCTTCTTAGAAACCTCCAGTGATGGAGCACCCACAACTTCTGAAGGCAACCTATTCCACTGGTTCATTGTTCTCACTGTCAGAAGTTTCTCCTTAATTCTAGGTGGCTTCTCTCCTTTATTAGTTTCCATCCATTGGTTCTTGTCCTGCCTTCAGGGGCTTTGGAGAATAGGTTGATCCCCTCTTCTTTGTGGCAGCCCCTCAAATATTGGAACACTGCTATCATGTCACCCCTAGTCCTTCTTTTCACTAGACTAGAGTTAGACAAACCCCAAATCCTGCAACTGTTCTTTATATGTTTCAGCCTTTAGTCCCCTAATCGTCTTTGTTGCTCAAAGTGCAAGGTTTGTAAACTGTAAATAAAGCTTCCTTTGAAGCAAGTTTCACCATATAAAGGTGTCCATTTAATTGTCTTGGCAAAATAATTTTTATTTCTCCATTTAGGTTTTCCACTTCATCACCCATCCAAGGAGCCTTGATAGTACAGTGGTTTAAGCACCCTGTTATTAACACAGCTGCCTGCAGTTTACTGCTGGTTCGAATCTCTCCAAGGCTCAAGGTTGACTCAGCCTTCCATCCTTTCTAAGGTAGGTGAAATGAGGACCCAGTTTGTGGGGGCAATAAGCTGACTTTGTATAAATATACAAAAGGATGAAGGCTATTGCTTAACGCATTGTAAGCTGCCCTGAGTCTCCGGAGAAGGGCGGCATATAAATCAAATAAATAAATAAAAAAAAGACCAACTAAATGGACCTCAGGTACCTTTGTAGTTTAGCCAAAGCTGGCCAAGGACGGCCTCCTAGTTGATATCCCTCACCAACTCAATAAATGTAAAAAAAAAAAAAAAGCCAGGAGAATTTCAACGTTTTCCTGCCCCTTGGATTAATTTTGTAGAGCAGATCCTCCCTCATCAAACTGAGAATGAGGAATGAGGGGGAAAAGGGCTGGGAAATATCTTTGCACCTCTTGAGACTGAAGATGCTTCCATCTGGTCTTCTCTGCGTCGCTGCATTAAGAACATCCATGAGTCACTCCCAGCGGAATTTCTCTCTCTTCAGCAGAGGCTCCTTGTGGCCACACGTGATGAGTATCTTCTGGGTCGGCGGCTTCTGGTCAACGAATGCCTTCCTGAATATGAGGTCTTGTGCTGAAAGGAAAGCTAGAGGCCTGGCCCTATATCTAAAATGGCCTTCAACCGCATTCCTGACTGCAGGTAGTTCTCGACGTACAACAGTTTGTTGTAACTTTGACCATTCAAAGTTACAACGGCACTGAAAAAGTGACTTAGGACCGTCTTTCATACTTACGACCGTTGCAGCATCCTCCTTGGGTCACGTGATCGAAATTCAGATGCTTGGCAACTGGTTCATACTTATGACGGTTGCAGTGTCCCGGGGTCATGTGATCCCATTTTGCGACCTGGCAAGCAAAGTCAATGGGAAAGACACTCTCAAGTAACAACTGTCTTATTAACGTAATGACTGCAGTGTTTCACTTAACAACTATGGCAAGAAGGGTCATAAAATGGGTCAAAACTCATTTAACCGCTGTCTCAGTAACAGAAATTTACTGTTCAAAGGTGGTCATAAGTTGAGGACTACCTGCATTCACAGGATTCCTTGTTCCGGGTTCCTACTCCAAGGACATCTACTAAGGCTGCTGTTGTGCACACTGTGATACTGTGTAAACCTCCTGGGTATCAGACCAACAAGGATCAGACTAGGAAACCAAGGCCATGTAGGTCAGAACATACTTTTATTACAGGTAGTCCTTGACTTGCAACTGGTCACTTAGCGATTGTTCGAAGTTATGACAGACGTACCTTGGGGCTACTTAGGAGCTGATTCTGAAGTTAGAATGGTTGCCTCCCCAGTACATAACCGAACTTCAGGTGCTTGGCAACACAACCGCATTTGCAGTGTCCTTGAGTTACTTTTAGCACTTAGCAATAGCGCTTAGACTTATACACCGCTTCATAGTGCTTGTACAGCCCTCTCTAACCTGTTTTACAGAGTCGGCATCTTGCCCCCAACAATCTGGGTCGGAAAGATGGAAGGCTGAGTCAACCTTGAACCAGTCAGGATCAAACTCCTAGCAGTGGGCAGAGTTACTGTTC